CAATTTAATTACGAGTGTTGGAGTAGTTTTATTCATTTCTTGTGTGAGCTTTGGAAAAATTTTGCCCATTATTCTTCAAATATTTTTTCTTTCCCCTCTCTTTTCTCCTTCAGGGATTCCAATTACATGTATATCAAGGTGCTTGGAATTGTCGCACAGCTCATGGGTGCTCTGATTATTATCTATTTTAATTTTCATCTCTGTGTTTCATTTTGGATAGTTACTGTTGTTATATCTTCAGGTTCACATATTTTCTTCTCTAATGCGTAATACGCCTATCCAATGTATTTTTCATCTTACGCATTGCAGTTTTATCTCCAGAAGTTCAATTTGAGTCTTCTGTTGTTGGTTGGTTTTGTTTTTCTGATGGTGGTAAAACATGTATAATATAAAATTTGCTGTTTTAACAATTTTTGAGTGTACAGTAGCACTGATTACATCAAAATGTTGTGCAACCCTCACCACTATTTACAAAACATTTTTATCATCCCAAATAGAATCTCTGTATCCATTAAGCAATAATTCCCCATTCTCCCCTCCCATCAGCTCCTGTTGTTAGGTTGTTAGGTGCTGTCAAATCGATTCTGACTCACAGCAATCCTATGTACAACAGAATGAAACACTGCCCGGTCCTGCGCCATCCTCACAATCCTTGTTATGCTTGAGCCCATTGTTGCAGCCATTGTGTCAATCCATCTAGTTAAGGGTCTTCCTCTTTTTTGCTGACCGTCCACTTTACCAAGTATGATGCTCTTTTCTACAGACTGATCCCTCCTGATAACATGTCCAAAGTATGTGAGACGTAGTCTCGCCATCCTTGCTTCTAAGAAGTATTTTGGTTGTACTTCTTTCAAGACGGATTTGTTCATTCTTTTGGCAGTCCATGGTATAGTCAATGTTCTTCGCCAACACCACAATTCAAAGGCGTCAATTCTTCTTCGATCTTCCTTACTCGTCGTCCAGCTATCACATGCATATGAGGTGACTGAAAACACCATGGCTTGAGCCAGGCGCACCTTAGTCTTTGCTTTTCAATACTTTAAAGAGGTCTTTTGCAGCAGATTTGCCTAATGTGTCTTTTGATTTCTTGACTGCTGCTTCCATGGGTTATGACTATGGATCCAAGTAAAATGAAATCCTTGACAACTTCAACCTTTTCTCCGTTTATCATAATGTTGCTTATTGGTCCAGTTGTGAAGATTTTTGTTTTATGTTGAGGTGTAATCCATACTGAAGGCTGTGGTCTTTGATCTTCATCAGTAAGTGCTTCAAGTCTTTTTCATTTTCAGCAAGCAAGGTTGTGTCATTTGCATAATGCAAGTTGTTAATGAGTCTTCCTCCAAACCTGATGCTGTGTTCTTCTTTATATAGCCCAGCTTCTTGAATTATTTGCTCAGCATACAGACTGAATAGGTATGGTGAAAGGATACAACCCTGATGCACACCCTTCCTAACTTTAAACCATGCAGTATCCCCTTGTTCTGTTTGAACGACTGCCTCTTGATCTATGTACAGGTTCCTCATGAGCACAACCAAATGTTCTGAAATTCCCATTCTTCGCAGTATTATCTATAATCTGTTATGATCCACAAGTCAAATGCCTTTGCATAGTCAGTAAAACACAGTTAAACATCTTTCTGGTATTCTCTGCTTTCAGCCAGGATCCATCTGACACCAGCAATGATATCCCTCGTTCCACATCCTCCTCTGAATCAGGCTCTTAGTAACCTCTAATCTACTTTCTGTCTCTATGTATTTGTCTAATTTTAGCTATTTCATGTAAGTGGAATCATATGATATTTTAAATTTTATCTCTGACTTATTTCAGTTAGCATAATTTTGGCCATTTTCAGTGTTTTTAAAGTTTATCCATGTTGTAGCATCTATCAAAACTTCATTCTTTTTATGGATGAATAATATTCCATTGAATGTATATACCAAATTTTATCTATTCACCTGTTGATGGACACTTGGGTCATTTCCATCTTTCGGCTATTGTGGTGTACAACAATCTGAGTACCTGCTCTCGATTCTTTTGGGTATATATCTAAGAGTGGAATTTCTGGGTCAGATGGTAATTTTATGTTTAACTTTTTGAGGAACTGTCAAACTGTTTTCCATAGCAGCTGCACCATTTTACATTTCATTTTAGGTGTTTTTTGTTTTTGTTTTTTAACTATCTTCCATATCTATACTTAACTTTTAAAACTTATTGAATGTAGTTATATAACTATTTAAATGTCTTTGTCTGGTAATTCTAATGTCTGTGGTTGCTATGAATTCGAAATTGACTCGATGGCAACAGGTTTGGTTTTTTTTTGGTATAAGTTCTAGGCTGGTTTTAATTGATTCATTCTTTAAGGGATATATTCTACCACTCTTTGCATGCCTGGTAGTTTTTGTTTGTATGCCAGACATTGTATATTTTATTTCTTGGGTTCTGGATTTTTTTTTATTTCTATAAATATTCTTAAGCTTTGTTCTGGGATGTAGTTAAGTTACTCAGGAACAGTTTGATCATTTTGGGTCTTGCTTTTAAGATTTGCTGGGTAGGATTACAACAGTGGTTGGTCAGTCTAGGGCTAATTATTCCCTATATTTGAGGCAAGACCTTTCTACATACTCTACCCTATGAATCCTGAGGTTTTTCTAGTCTGACTTGTGGAAACAGGTACTATTCCCAGCTCGGTGCAAGCACCAGGAACTGTTACCTCTAATATTTTCAGGTGATTTTTTTCCAGCCTCAGTTGGTTTTATCACATGCATAAGCAGATCAATACTCAGCTGTATAAGGATTATCTTCAGATCTCTAGTGTTCTCTCCGTGTGTAGCTCCCTACTTTCAAGTACTCTGTCATAAAAATTCTAGCCACCTTGGTCTGTCTGGACTCTCAGGTCCATTTCCTCAACTCAGCAAGTCTGTTGGGCTCTGTCTGGGTTCCCCCTCCCTGCACCACTGTCTGAAAGCTGGGGCATTCATAGGGCTCACCTTGTTTGTTCCTGTCTCTCAGAGATCACTGTCCTTCTTTGCCTGTTCTATATATTTTGCCTGTTATTTGGTTGTTTCGGGCAACAGAGTAAATCTGATCCTCCAAATTGGCAGAAGTAGAAGACATAACTGCTTTTTCTCTTGGATATGGGTCACATGTTCCTGTTTCTTACTATGTCTAGTAATACTTGGATGCTAGAAACTGTAAATTTTATACTGTTGGTTTCTAGATATTGTCATATTCCTTTAATGAATGCTGGAACTTCTTTCTAGCACCCTCAGCCTCCCTGAACTCCAATCTCTGTCTCCCCTTAACTCAGCAAGATTGCCAGGTTCTGTTTGGGTTGTCCTCCACTCACTGTAGTCCATAAATTGTCTCCAGGCAGAAAGCCTGAGAGATGGTAGTACTCATCTCATTTGTTTCCCCTCTCTTCGGGATCACAGCCCTGTGCTACCTGTTCTGTCTGAAAAGTTGTTTCATATATTGTGTCTAGTTTTTTAGTTGTTATAGCAGGAGGGAATTCTGGACACTTTTATTCCCTTATAGCCAGAAGTGGAAATTTCAGTTTATTTTCAGATCTGCTAGATCACTTTAGTTTCAATTAGTATCTTGTTGTTTATTCATTTTTATAATTCTCTCTTTTTTTCCTATAAACATTTCATATAGTTAATCTATAATCTACTATCTAAAGTCCCTGGTATCTAAATCTGTTATTTGTTGTTTCTATCCATACTCACTCATGGTAGTTTATTTCCTTAAGTGGTTGGTGATTTTTTTTTTTCTAATGAGCACATATTTAATTGACCTTAATCTGCAAAAACTTGAACATCTAAATTTGGATATTTCCCTTCAGGAATTATTAGCATATTATTCTTCTAGGAGCCAGAGGATGCTACTGACCTAGAACTTCTTTAGGTCCCTTTCAGAGTTCCTTCCTTAATAGAAGATTCTTCAGTTCATCTACCTTTTCCCTTCCTTCCTTAATAATAGTATCAACATTTGCCCTCAGGGAGAACTCTGCTTTTCATACATGCTTACTTCTTATAACTTCCATTTTAGTTCTCCCTTTTTTGGCCCCATGGATGTTTCTCTTTCTTCTTCCAAGCACATCGGGTCTTTTGTACTTGATCTTTTGTTGATACCCTAAACACACTACCCACAACTCCAAGATCTCATCTACCCTTAGGGCTTCAACAATAAACTCTATTTATAAGGCGTTTAAATATATACCTCCAGCTTTAACATTTTCCCCATATTTTAAGTCCCACATTCCCAACTGCTTATTGGACATGCCCACCTGGATATCTGTCTGATTTACACTTAATGTATCTAAATTTAAATATAACATCTTTCTGTTCTGTCTCTACATATCAAAGCACTTTTCCTTCCATTCACAAACCTCAAAACATTTTAAGTTTGAAGAGATCTTAAGAGTTCATTTTACAAATAGGGAAATTGAGGATTACATAACTTTTTGCTCAGTACTCCCAATTAATTTCCCCGAAATACTTTCATTATCTTCCTTCCTGCTCAAAAAACTTCAGTGTTTTCCCAACGTTTACGAGATTTTAGCTTAGCACTTAAGGGCCGACAAAATTTGGTTTTATAGTCCACTATCCCCATATATGAAGCCCCTGCTGCAGCCAAGTGAGTCTATCCCTCAAAATTTTACTGTTCCTCACATCATTCAGCAAAGAAGACTCATGTCTTCCTCTCCATCCATTAAAATCCTACCCTTTCCTCAAAATCTGGCTTAAATCTCTCTCTAGTCTCACCACTGAAATTAATTTATCTATCTGAAATTTCAGGCATTTCTGATTTGTAAATTCACAGAACATTTATTAAATCCTGCCTTGTTCTGTGATTATTTTTCTTCCTATTTTATATTCTTTCAAAGTTTCTCCAGGCAGAAAGCACCTGTTCTGTTTCCCATCATGCTTAGCACAGTGCCTGGCACTTGGAAGGTGCTCAGTGAAGCTGGCTGAAAGAAGTGAACTCAAGAGCTCCTTACCTTGGTGATGTCCGTGTGATCTTTGAGACCGTTGGTCATGCACCAATATCGCCACACATTCAGGGCGTACCGCGTGGCTTTGGTAGTATTCGGGCTCACTGCGCTGGTACACAGATCATTCAAGTCATCGTTAATATTAAATACAGGAAATTTGTTGAGCTTAGTAGAATAGGCTAGAAACAAAAACAATAAAAGGCATTAAAATAATTTGCCATTCCCCTGTTCCGTAGAGAATTACATCTTGGGATCTTATTAAATAACAAAGAACTCTTAACAACTAACATGTAAAAAAATGAAATTTGTATGAAGCCTACACATATCAGAATAAAGTAGGGAACAATTTTTCCAGCATAGAATCAATGCAATAACCTTGAATTTAATCCCAACAATTTTGCCATATGTACTAATTGATGCACTAATGCAGACAATCCAACAATGGTGGGGAAAAAAATTAACGCAGAAAAATACTCTAAGAACGTTCTCTCTAAATTTTTTACTAGGGAAAAAAACAGCACTTCTATTAATAACAACAACAAGGGGAAAAAAAGAAGGAAGAGAAGAAGCAAAAAAAGTTACACATCCTCTCTCTTTACCCTTATAACATGAAGCACTATCATTTCTCTGTAATATACAGTCTCAAATGTCTTATGTGCCATCTTGGGCAGCCTAGAATTAAATGGTGGTGGCATGTTTCTTTAATTCTCCTCATAAATTAATAAAGAGAAAAATAATTAAATCATGACTCCATAACCAACCCATCAACTAGCTTAGAATCAGAATGGAAGAAGGTTAAGTGAAAAAAATATTAGGGGAAAGAGGAAGGAATACTCCAGAAGGGTTCATATATTCTCAGAGGAAAGAGAACAGATTTTAAATTGCCAAAATTACTTCAGATGAAGATTAGTCTTCCTCAATGTGACCACTGCTTGTCAAAGAGATAACCAAGTCCCAACCATTAGCTGGTCTTTCTTTATACTTTGTGATCCACTAAAACCAGACTTAGCCTATTCAAACTGAATTTGGTGTCTTTAGAATAGAAAAACAAATATCAAAGTAAATCAGTTAAGTGTCTTGTGCAAAGTAAAAACACTGCCAATCTGTACTTTATCTAATTGTTCTGACCCTCTCTGGAATGTTTCCGCATTTAAACAAGGAACTAACTGGCTAGGTCTCTGAGAAAAAGCAAAATGAAAAGTTAATGCAATTACCAAGGTGATTTCCAAACTTAGTTTCACTTTACCTAACTCACCTCACCTTTCACTTCTCTACTGAGGAACTCCTCTGTACCAAACCACCAGCCCCCATCATCTGCCTGCCCCCAGGTCATCCACACCATACCTTCCCTAGACTCGGCCCTAGTATTCTCCCCATGGTCCATGTGCCAATCAAAATACTGTCCTTTTTTCAAATCTAATTCCAAACTCCCTTCTGCATAACCTTTCCCCATACTAATGTAACTTCCTGTTCTCTTCTTGTATTTGTCTCACATTTGCTTCACTGTTTCTTAGGAATGTGTTCTAATTGTGATGGGAAAGTCTGTTTAATTGTTTTATATTTTCCTTATAGGAAATGACTACGTCTTCACCCTTTAAGTCTTAGTCCTACCTAGAAGTTGAACACACAATAAGCACTGCTGGGAACAGTATCTGAAGCAACTGAGTCAGGTAGCTCAATTCCTCTCACCACTCCATAAACCTAGATTAAAAAAAAAAAAAAACCAAACCCGTTGCCGTCAAGTCACTTACGACTCACCAACCCAGCCCTACGGAACAGAGTAGAACTTCCCCATAGGGTTTCCAAGGAGTGCCTGGTGGATTCGATAAGCCAACCTTTTGGTTAGCAGTCAAACTCTTAACCATCACGCCACCAGGGTTTCCATAAACCTAGATAACTTGTATTATTTGTATGACTTGCTTGATATTAATAAAATGATTCTAGTATGAGATTTATTATTATTATATCCAGCACTAATTGCATGCCTAGTATATATCAAGCGGTTTTATTTACATAAATTATCTGTAATCTGTAAACAACCTCTGTCATATCTTTTTATACATAAGAAAACTGAGGCTCATAAATTTAAATAACTTCATACATTTATTCACCCAATATTTACCAAGCTATCATCTCAGTACTCAGCACAATTCTTTCCCAAAGCCATGGAGTTACTAAGTAGTAGAGCCAGAGGTTGGACCTGGGTTCCTCTGACTCCCTGCTCTTGCCTTTACAACAAAGGAATCAGGTATTACAGGATAAAGTTCTTAGTAAAGAATGCAATTTAGATATTAGCCACTTGTGCTTATTGAAAATATATTGGCCCCCAAAATTTACTCAGATAAATCTCTAGTGAGGAGGACTAAATCTTCTTTATCTAGATGACCACTATAGCTTCAGATTAGATGATTAATTTTAATTATTACATTAAACAATTACATGATCTTAAAATCATTTCATTTTTTTATTCATTTTTATCACAAAACAGAAACTGTGCCTTGAGAATGGAAACCAAAATCCTAGTATATACAGGCATGGGTAAAGAATGCTTTTGTACTCACATAATGGGAAATTATGTAAAAATGAGTAAATGACATCATGCATGGTTCCTTCATGATTATATTTAAGGATTAAATATATCTACTTAATAAAGTGCTTTTTTAAAACTTCGGGTAGAAGTTGTAGTATTATGCTGCAGAGGAAGATTCTGGGGGACTATCGTGATGAGCCCTAGTGGCACAGTGTTTAAGAGCTATGGCTGCTAACCAGAAGGTCAGCAGTTCGGATCCACCAGCTGCTCCTTGGAAACCCTATGTAGCTGTTCTACTCTGTCCTATAGGGTCGCTATGAGTCAGAATCGATTCGATGGCAGTGGGTTTGTTTGTTTGTTTTTGGATTTATAGTGATGAGAAACAAGTAACAGTAAGAACTCATAACAGAAGACAGGAAAGTAGGGGACTATTAAAGAAGGACCTCTGTTGACACAATGGTTAAGTGCTGGCTGTTAACTGAAAGGCTGACAGCTGGAGCCTAACCAGCAGCTCTCTGGGACAAAGGCCTGGCGATCTGTTCCTGTAAAGATTACAGCCTAGATTTGAATCTTCATGGTGTTAGGATTCATGGACTGTCAAGCAGGAATACTGAAAGAAGACACATATATTAGACATATCTTGGTGAAATTTCTGAGTCAAAATCAACTCGAAGGCACCCAACAATAACAATACTAAAGAAGTGAAATGTTTGGACGAGGTGGGAGTGGGCTAGGGGTGGTAGTAGTGTAATCGAAGGACGACCAGATCTGAACAATTACCCTGCTCTCTGCACATAGCTACCTTTACATCATTTACCAACAGCTCAGTTGTTGACAAGTACAGTTGTGTAAAATGAGGCAAATCTGCTGTAGAAGGCTACACTTGGCATCTGAGAGAGAATAGAGGGCATTGCCTCAGGTAACTCTGGAAAGTCCCATTGAGTACAGAGAGAGGAACAAAAAAAGCAACTGAGAAAAGCAATGACACTCCTGAATGTACACCATCTCCCAGGTAACACTTGCCCTGTTTCTTCTATAGTTAAGAGTGTTCCCAGTTTCCCAGTTTGTTTCCAGTTTATACACTCTGAAGGGAAGCCTACTCATGAGCACTGCTTTGGTCACTCATTACTATTACTATTATTACCTGCAGAAATGAGCTCTATCCAGATGTATCAAAAAGGAACCTTTTACTGTTTCTAAGAAAATCTTTATCTGGTACCAATAATGGTCAATCTAGCCTTTCATTTTAAAACATGAGCAGACAAAAAGCATCACCAGGCAACTGGGGAAAACCAACAGCATGAAAGTCACAAAGAAATACAAGCAAAGCAGCTAATCTCACATTTCCTACCACACCTCTGGAAAATGGAGTTAATTAAGAAAGCTTTTAAAACATCACAAACATATCACTAGAGAAATTTGGGAGAACATTGTATCCTTAAGACAATAACAGGCTTCATTGGAAGAGGATAAATAGAACAAGAAGGACCCCCAAAATGACTGAAAAACGTATTTTTAAAATACCTAATAGAAGGGTTGAATGTCCGAATGAACATGGCTAAAGACAAATTTGTGATCTGAAGGAATTTTCCCTAAAGGACAGGCAAAATAGTAAAAATTTGAAAATTATGAGGGTGATGTTAAGAGACATAGAGGACAGAGCCAGGAAATTCAATATCCCTCTTATGAGAATTCAAAAGAAAAAATTATAATAGGATAAAATAATCAAGGAAATAATCTTTTAAAAAGTTTTGAAAGATTTGAATCTAGGCTGTATGAAAAACTTAAAATGACGAGAGGAAGGCTTTCACTTATAGGTATGATGAAGTAGCTGCTATTTTATTGCCCTTCCTGCTGAAAGCAAAGCTAGATAAAATGCATAGAATGACCAAAGTAACTGGAACTGAGGGGCAAAGACCTTGGAGAGAAGGGAAATGCATAGAGGTAAGTCCTGCATTGGTCACCATGTTTTCCTCTTAGGGCATTTGTTGACTTGTAGTTCAGGACATAGAGCCCAAACAGAAAGCAGCAGCCTGGAGTCTGCAGCAATCTCAGAGGGATGGGAATGCAGGTATTTATGTACAGGAAAAGCAAGCAGCCAGTACTCGAGGAAGCAAAATCCTGGAGGAAAAGGAACCACAGAAAAGTAAGCCAACATTCTGCATGCAATTTTCCTTCCAGGAATTGCAGACTCCTAAGCTAACATATGCACAGGCAAGCTGCAGACAAACCATGTAGAAAGCAGAAATTGCTAAGAGGCAATTTCATGGCTCAGAGGAGTTACAATTGTAATTGAGGACCTGCAAAGAGGATAACAATTTAAGATCCAGGAAGGGCTTGACTCTAAGAGTAAGGGAAACTGGAAATAGACCAGTCTTAACTAGATTAAGGTGATCTGCCCTTCTTATTTTCTTGCTAGAAGAAAATATAGTATTTTCTGGAGGAAGACAACATGTTCAACAAGTTTTCATACACAATGATGATCATTTAATAATGACTTAACAGGAACACCATAAAACAAGATCAAATGAATAAAAAACAAGATAAAAACCAGGCAATAAAAATAGACCTATAGATAATCTGGAGTATCTGGGTGACACAAATGGTTAACGCGCTTTGCTGCTAACTGAAAGTCTAGAGGTTCAAGTC